TGACTATAAGGGCACCCTCCCTTAACTTTCACCTTTAATCATTTAGTTTTTCACTTGCACCAAAACATTACTCTTCAACCTAGCAAGTCAACCCTTCCTGATGAGTAGTCTCCTAAAATCTATTCACATTGCTGTTTCGATTATCTTCCATTTTATTAGTACTTTATTTCATGCCCATGCCACATACCTGATTTCCCTACCTCTAGTATTTTCCTGTCAAATAATTCTATGAGCTATCCGTAAGATTAATAGTCATAAGATACTTCATGTCACTCTCCAATTTAAAAACCTTCAGTGGCTTTCTACTTTTCTGTAATAAAAATGCAGACGTTGCATTCTTGCAAGGCTTCCAACATTTGACCAAGACCTATCCTTCTATTTGATCTCCTACAGTGACCCAGATTAAGCACCAGACTTGAAGCTCTCCACTTCATTGTCACCGTTGCTTGTGCTTGCTTACTGCAGGTGTTTTTATATTTGGATTTTGGTGCTGGTGATTGACCCAGGGCCCCATGCACAGTAAGCGCAGCTCTACCACTGAGCTACACCTCCAGCCCCAACCTGTAGATGTGTTATTACATAAATTCTTCTTTGTAGTGCCTGCCTTTTATCTTTCAAAGCTGAGACATGGTCGCCATCTGTGTTGTAATTACACACAGTATTCCATCCTTCACTATGTCCCTCTTATCCCAAACTACATGACAATATCTGACACTGGTTTGGTTTATAAATTAATACTTCATTAATTCATTTTGTCTTCCTAATCGGTATGCATAAAGCTTATGTTTACCCTAGTACCTAGCACAATCCAAAGCACAAAGTAGAACATTTTAAAAATTACCTTGGTATTTTCTAACAAAGTCTATGAGAGGCTGAAAATGTTATCACAAGTTCGTGTGTAAGAGCCACTGGCTGAGCATTTCCCACCTGTACTCTCCACAAGAAGGAGGCTGAAGCAGAAGGATCACAAGGCTGAGCACAGCTTAGGCTACAGAGCAAGAATTTATTTCAAAAAGCAAACAAATGGGGCCAGGTATGGTGGCTCAAACCTGTAGTCCCAGCTACTCAGGAGGCAGAGATGGGGAGGATTGCAGTTTGAGGCTAGCCAGGACAAAAGAGTTGGTGAGACCTCATCCCAATAAACAAGCTAGGCATGGAAGTTCATATCTATAATCCCAGCTGTGGGGGAAGCATAAGTAGAAAGGCCATAGTCCAAGGCCATTCCCAGGTAAAAATGTGAGACTAAAGCAAAAAAGAGATGGGGGCGTGGCTCACAGAGTAGGCCCTGAGTTCAAACCCCAGTACTGCAAAAAAAAAAAAAAAAAAAACCACCTCCCCCTAAAAAAAAGAGCTATTCACAGAAAAACAGATTCACAAAACTAGAATGAATCTAAGAGAGATAGTGGAAGGCTACATGTCAAAAATTTTGTGTTGTGAAAAATTTAAAAGTAGTTACCATAATGATTTTTATCAAGAGTCAATACTCCAATTTCTCACATCACAATTCTCAGTAGATTATTTACAAAGATGACAGCAATGATTCCTTCCATTCATAGGGCCCTTTGCAATGGGACCATGCTGTTTCTTCTATAATGAGGTGACATTTATTTCCGCATCCCTTGAATCTGGACTGTCCTTCTGTCATAGTTTCACTAACAGAACACGGCCACAGTGACACTGCAAACTCTCTTTCCACCTTTCTCATGTTTTTACTGTGGTAAAAAATATATAAACATAAGCTAACCGTTCAAGTGTACCATTCAGTGCATTAAGCACTTTCACACAACCACCATGACCACCGCCCACCTCCGTAACTGTTTCATCTTGTGAAACTGAAGTTCTGTACCTACAAACAGTGCTCCCCATTTCCTACTTCCTCCAGCCACTGAGGACCACTCATCTATTTTCTGTCCCTATGACTTCTGAGTACTCTAACTTTCTCACCTAGCATAATTCCTCAAGGTTCACTCAGGCTACAGCAGACTGCAGAAACTCCTTTCCTTCCTATGCTGCATGATAATTCATTGTGTTTATATACCACATTTTGTTTACCCATTCATCTTTTGAGGAGCATCTGGTTTGCTTCTACTTTCTGGCTATTGTGAATAATGACCATGGACATAAAATATCTGAAGTCCCTGCTTTTACTTCTTTGGTATACAACCAGAAGTGCAATTGCTGGATCATATGGTTATGTTTTTTTTTTTTTAAGGAACCAACATATTCTTTGCCATGGTGACTGCTTCATTTTATATTCCCAGAGCAATGTATCAGGAAGGACTCCAAATTGTTCACATCTTTATCAACGCTTGTCATTTTCTGTTTGTTTTTTTGATTATCATGAAATGAGTGTTAAGGAATATTTCACTATTTCTTTGATTTATACTTCTTTAAGGATCAGTGATACTGAGCACCTTTTCATGTGTTTATCAAGCCATTTATTTATCTTCTTTGGAGAAATTTCTATCAAGTTCTTTGTGCATTTTTGAGATAGGCTTTGAGTTTTGTTGCTGTTGAGTTGTTTATTATACATTCCAGATATTCTCTTCTTAGCAGATACATAATTTGCAAGTATTTTCTCCCATTCTATGGTTGCCTTTTACTGTTCATAGTACCCTTTTATGCACAATTTTTTAAGAATTTTGATGTACTCTCATTTGTCTATTTTTTCCTTCGTTTCCTATGTTTTTGGTGTCATATCCAAAAACTCCCAATAAATCCAATGTCTTGAAGTTTTCCCCTTGTGTTTCTTCTAAGAATTTTATAGTTTCAAGCCTTACATTTAGGTCTTTGGTCTATTCTGAATAACTTTTTGTACATAAAGTAAGGTAAAGGCTGAACTTCATTCTTTTTTGTGGGTATCCATTTTTCCCCAGGGCCATTTGTTGAAAAGACTGTTCTTTGCCTCACTGAATGATGTTATAATTTGAATGCTGAATATGTCCCAAAGGTCCATTTGTTAAACAAAGGCTTGGTCCTAAGCGTCATGTTATTGGAAAGTGGTGGACTTTTTGAGAGGTGGGGCCTAATGAGAGGTTCTTAGGTCACTCTTTGCCTGCAAAGGGGATTGTGGGGACGCTTTCTTTCTCTTTGCTCTTTGGCCATGAGGTAAGCAGTTTGTACTGCTACTGGCTCCCCGTCACTGACATCTGGCACCTCTACCAGATGCCTAAAAGTAAAAGGTTCACTCGATCACACATTGGAACCTCTAAAATTGTGAGCTCAAAAATACCTTTTCTCTTTATAAGTTAGTTACCTCAGGTATTTTGTTAGAAGATGGAAAGCCAACTAACACAAATAGTTTTGGCACCTTTGCCAAAAATCTTTTGAACATAGATATGACAGCTTAGTTCTGGTATATCCATTCTATCCTATTGGTGTATTGTCAGTCTGGTGTATTAGGACAACACTACACTGTCCTCATGACAGTAACTTTGTATTAAGTTTTGAAAGTGGGAAATAGGAGATCTTCAACATTTGTTTCTTTTTTCAAGACTGTTTTGACTATTTGGGATCACTTGAGATCACATATGAATTTTAGGATCAATTTTCTATTTCTGCAGAAAGTGTTGTTAGGATTCTGATAGTGATAGCACTAAATGTGTAGGTTGCTTTAACAATATTAAGCCTTCCAAGTCATCAATAGGAGATGTCTTTTCAGCTACTGATGTCTTCTTTAATTTCTTTTAGCAGCATTTTGCAGTTTTCATTGTGCAAGTCTTTCACAGCCTTGGCTAAGAATATTTCTAAGTATTTCATTCTTTTTTAGTGCTTTTGTAAATGGACAATGTATGGATTCTAAGTTGAGGTCAAGAGGCCTTGCAACTTTGTTCTGACCCTCTTTGAAGACTGCTACTGACACATTAAAAACCTCAGGCTGTCTGATGGTATCATATAACTTAGCTAATACTCAGCACAACTGGCAAGCTGGTAGATACCTAAAGCCACTTGTGAAACTCCAGATGAGACCAGCAGAAGAACCACTTAGCTTTACCTGGCAAACGTTTATCCCATAAAATGGTGAGCAAATAATATAGTATCTTCAGCCATTAAGCTTGGGGATGGTAGCAAAGACTAACTGAACTAGAATTAAATCTCTTTATTTGCTATTTCTTAACTATGACAATTTATTCAATACCTGTCACATATTCATTTCAAACCATTTCCTAGAGGCTATTAAGATTTACTTACTCTGAGACAAGATAGAGTTCTTTGATGCTAAATATTCTACATTATTCATCATCTTCATGAATGTTTTAAAGCTTGAATGCCAGCATTCTAAATAATTTATAATTTTAAAAAGTAGAAGAAATGAAATCGTACTGAACCAAAGAAGTATAGATTTGTTTTTCTAATTTCTTAATTCAATATTGAAAAACTAGTAAACAATATTATAGTTGTTTTCAGGCTAACCTGTGAATCACACTGCTAATGTATGCTAGCAATCAATACTAAACTTATTGAGTATAGATTTTTAAACTTTATCATCAGAAAACTCAAGTAATCACAATATTTAGGAGAAAAATACTTTTAAATTAATAATGTTTATAATCTCAAAGCATTTAGTCATGGTATGTAAGCAAAGTAGCTTAATATTACTCAAATCTTTGAAGAAATATTACTCAAATATTTGATGAGTAAATTTTTGTTTACTCATAAATAATTCATTTATTAATAAGCCTAACTATAAAGGATTATAATATTACTTGGAAAAAAAAATCTTCCAGAATACTATGCAAAAGTAACATATTATCACTTAAAACTTGCTAAAACAAAATTTCACTCTATATTCCATCAAAGAATTCATTTTGAGAATTTATTCTTCCAAGTTTGCTTTAAAACAGATTATCTGTATTCTTTGCATTCTTTAAAGAAATAAATAATAATAAACAGAGCAGAAGAAATAATAAGAGGCACAGTTTTATGCTAAACCTTATATATGTTATCTAGATATAGTATAGGACTATTATTGCTGACAAACCATTAACACTTAAGTAGAAACTAATTCAGTTAACTTTCAAAGTTAAAAATAATTTATCAAAGTCTATGTCACGACATATTCTATGTGCAAGTCTCTGTCAAAGGTTGGCTTACCTTTGCACAATTTATTTTGGTAACTGAGTTTACTGTCAGAAATATCTCATATTTGCATTATTAAAAATATCTTTTGAAGGAGTTACCATTTTACTTTTTAGGAGTAGTCCTAAATACTCCTCTAAATTTAAGCTCTGATTTATTTAACTGCAAGCAAGTATTTACACGCCTCTATCAGAACATTTCTACGAGCAGACTACAACTTCACCATCCCCCGCATAAGTATGTCTACATACTGAATATTGATATACAGCCTATAATTTTAACACACACAATTCGTATCTAAGAACTATGTATCTCAATATGATAAAAAATACAGAAGGAGGAAATATAAATGGAAGAATTAAAATGTACTTACAAAGTCAAAGTCTCCATCCTGAGGAACTTTCCAATTATCAGGAAAAACATTTTTTGTCAGAGGGAAGGGTTCATGCATGTTCTGATTACCGGTTTCATGACTCTTATTTTTGAAGTCCTGCTTATCAAAGTAGTCCATGAAAGATGGTCTTTGTACTTGTGGTGAAGTTGCGTTTCCTTAGGTAAATAAAAAATATAAGGAAGGTGTAAGCACTTACTTTTAAAGACATATGATTTTTATGGAAGTGTGACTTTACTGTTTTCTTGAGCCATACAGTAAATTTATGCTGGTTAGATTCAAAGTCAACACAGTTAATTCACAAGGAATAAAGAAAAAACAGTATGAAGAAAGAAAAAGTATCCAAACCAAATAAATACTAAATAATTCAAAATAAATATTAAGTTAATAATTAGGCAAAGATGCAGAATATTCTTAGATTGTAGAAACATTTCAGAATTTTAGCGGATCTTTATAATTTTATTAAAAAATCGTATCAATTGTACTTAAAATTTGTCAAAGAAAATTAATTTTTAGAAAGCAAGTATATTTGGTCTTCTTCTTTTTTTTTTTTTTTTTACATTTAAGCCATCAATGTAATTGTAATTATTCACTTTGACCTGTAAGAAATCATAAGGACTTACACAGGTTCCTCTTATATCTATTTGATGCCTCCCTCCTACTCTGTCTTGCAGACTCCTCCACCCCCTGGACTTTCATGGCTTTGTCATAATTATATCCATGGCTCTCAAAGCAATTTCTCCAGCTCAGACCTTGTTCCTACATTCTATATTTTACTTTGCAAACACTTGTAATTATATTGCAAATGCTTGTTATTGTATTACTTATTCCAAGGTGCGTTAACTTACCAGTTTTGAAGCTAAATATAAGATATTTCCCTTCAAATTTGCAGCTTCTCCACATGTTCTATTTCTGCCACGGTCAACACTATTTACTCAATCCCCAAAGTAATAAGGTTGAGAATTAACTCAGACTTCTCTCTTCCTATTGTATCAAGATGATCATAAGGGATGGTTAATTCTACTTCACAATAAGAGTTGTTTAACCCTTTTCTCCTCTATCTTTTGTTTTAGTTTCTAATCATCTCTAGCTTTTGTGATTGTAGCAGCCTCTAAACTAGTCTTGTTTCTATAATCCAGTTTTGATTTTATATCATCAACATAATGACCTTTCTGAAGAGAAAGCAAATTATGTCATTCTTCTCCTTAGAATCTTTCAATGGCTCCTCACTTTTTATACTGAACAATTAAGTGGCAAATAAACATTTGGAATAACTAGATTTTAAATCTAGTGGCTAAGGTCTTCATCAGTAGTTTCCAAATTGGATTCCTTAGAGCCCTATGCCTCCAAATAAATGTCCCAGAGACCAACAGGAAGGCATTTCCCAAATAATTCTCCCGATAGAAAAGTAATTCACCTTCTTAAATAAAGACTTCCTGAGGGAAGTACAGGAAATGAAGTCTGTCCTATAATTTATAAGCATTCTCAAAAATTAGTTTCTCTTACATATACTTATCCCTAAAATATCTGAAGACAGAGATAAGGTTTTTGTTATATGACCTGTCTTTTAGATTCATCATCATCTAGTTCACTTGCCTATGGGAACATTTCAGTATCACAATGTTCCCCTATACAGAGATGTAACATTTGATAGTGATCTAGCCAATCTAGAATGGTAGAACTACTATAGCATAAAACTACACTTACTAATATAATTATTAAGCAACACTGCTGGCTGAGGATGAGAGATAAAAACAGGGGTCAAAAGAATACAATGCAATGCTAAAACCTTTACTTTCAGTCTTTTAGACAAGGGAATTAGGCTGGGGGATATGGCAAGAGGTAGAACACCTGTCTAGCAAGTGTAAGGCCCCGAGTGCAAACCTCAGCTCTGTGTGTGTGTGTGTGTGTGTGTGTGTATGTGAGTGCACGCACAAGGGAGAAGGAATTAGAATCAATGCCTTCATTCTGTGGTGAACAAAAGTCTGGAATTCTCTAACTGGAAAAGAAAAGAGTGGGGTGAGGGAGGTTTTCATCCTAATTCCTCCTTCCTTTCCCTGACTCTTAGATCTCTGTAGTATTTGACAGACTCTAAGTTTAAATGAATTTGTTCAAGTGAGGATACAAGAAAGGGGTATAATGGTGGTGTTTTTTTCATTTAAAAATGTTATCACTTTGCCTTAAAATGACATGATCTTCTTTAAAACTATATAAAACATATATACCATAAAATTTACCATCTTATTTCTGGTTATATATCCAAAAGATTTAAAGCAGAGTCATGAAGAGACATTTGTACATCTGTGTTCATCACATCATTATTCAAATTAGCTACAGTATGGAAGCTCAGTTGCCCACTGACAGAATGGACAAGGAAAACGTAAGGAAAGAAGGGAGAAAGGAATTGATTAATTTGACAATGTTACTTTGCTGACATTTGGATGAGATACATACATTCCTTTAATAATTTCAACAGATTTTAAATGCCTTTTGTCTGTAGGCCCCATCATTAGGAGGTATAGTTCTGTTAAAAATTTGGTTCCTATGGCAACCTCTTATTCCAAAATAGATTCTAGAAACTTAACCTCAGTCATGCTCTACTTCTGCCCCATTTTATGAGAATAAGAAAAAAAAATCACATTAAAGTATAGCTAAAGTTACACAAATTTTCCATAAATACTTCGGTAAATCAAATCAGAAAGTGAAAGGTGGAGAAATAATTCCATAAAGGAATCCTTTATTCATTATTTCCTTTCTTCCTTCTTTCCTCCCTCCCTCCCTCCCATTCTTTGGAGAGTTTGTAGTTGTTTTTAAGACAGGGTATCATTATGGAATCCAGGCTACCCTAAAACTCATGATCTATTTGCACTCTTTCCTCAGCCTCCTGAGTATAGATAGCATTCTTTAAAAGTACATTTTGTATGTGTAAATGCTTTGGTAAAACACACATACACACAATGGCACTTCCAATCCACTGAAGAACAGCACTCCTTGACCAATGTCCCTCCCCAAATCTCCCTCCTCTGTCAACACCAGAACCATACTACTCCTACTACTTTTCCTTCTCCCCAGCACTGGCATCACTGCAGAGATTCTAGGTATGGTTTTGTTTCTTCATCAACTAGGAGATATGGAACTCTTATCAATACCCTGGTGCTGTAATGAAACAGTCAGGGGTCTTTTGATATATAGCAAGTGGTAATTCAGACCTTTGTACCTGAGAAAATTCATCCCAAAGGAAGACTAACTCTACCTACCAGAAACTAACACTTATAGAGCAGCAAGTTTAGTAAGAGCAACAGTATATACTGGGAAGGAGAAGGAGAAAAGTAATATATCAGAAGTTGCTTTTCCACTACAGTGAATAAAGCGGGAAAAACCTTAATCTTTTATAAAAACCTTCACAAGCCTGGCACCAGTGGCTCACACCTGTAATCCTGGCTACTCAGGAGGCAGAGATCAGGAGGCAGTTTGAAGCCAGACCAGGCAAATAGTTCACAAGATCCTATTTCAAACAACCATATCACAAAAAAATTGGGCTGGTAGAGTGGCTCACGGTGAAGACCCTGAGTTCAAGCCCCAGTACCACAAAAAAACAAAAACAAAAACAAAAATCCTTCACAGCAAAAAGTAAGATGAGCTCAGCAGGCATTTCCTTGAGAGTAGGAAAAAGGCTGAAAGATATTCTTTTCTACAATGAGCCAGAGAAGTAGACACTGGATCAGAGATAAGTAGTGAAAACAGAAAAGGCAGAAGCAGATCAATTCCTAAGGCCTAATTAAAAAAAAAAGTATATAAATTACTAAAAAGTTTCATTGCCAAAATCTACTCCTCTATCCTCAATAGCTGTGGTCCTACTTCTAACATGATCCTAATCAGAAGCTTCTAACCTGTCAACTACCACTAGTATTGGAGTCTCTCAAAGTAGAAAAGGTGGCTACATAATATCTATAGTTCGTCTTTTGTTAAGGGTGAGAAAGGTGCTTCTCTTCTGGGTAGGAGTGGCTATGTAATACAATTCTGGCCAATGATACAAAAAATAAGGTTTTCTAAGAAAGTTCTATTTTCTTGATACAGGCAGTACTCTTTTGTTTCCTGCTCTTTCCTCCTGCCTGGAATGCAGATTTGATGGCTAGAGAGCTAGCATTTATTCTACAAGCAGGAGGATGAATGTAAAAACCCAAAAGATGGTGTCTCAGGAAGGCTCTCTAATGACACCATGAAATCACTCTTACTAGTGCTGAACATTCTGCTTCTGGATTTCTTATTAAGTATGAAATGAAATTAATCCTATATTATTTAAACCACTGTCAGTTGGATTTTCTAATATATGCAGCCAAATTCAGCCCCTATTGGATATACTTCTATTCATAAAGTGAAAGATATAGAAAGAAGTAGAAGGAACAGAAATTTTCAATTTTGCTGAAGGGATAGTCCAGTTTCAAACTTCAGTCCACTATTACCCATGGTCATTTGTCAATCATCTCAGACATAGTTTTAAAGGTCTTTTACAGGCTAACCTAAAAACTTATGGTAAAATATCTTATGGGTTACATACTCAAAATTTTGGAAAATAACCCACTCCTAAGTTAGTAATAAACATTCTTACAAAGAGTTAACAAAAGTCTGAAACTGAACTTATACAAAAGAAGGCAGTCTGTTCCATTAGCTTTTTCTTTTTGTACAACTTTATAATAAGATATTATTAACCCAAATATGCTTACCCACAATTTTCTATTCAAACATATGGGCTTGCATGTCTAAATATTTTCCACTGATTAATTTAAAACCTAGTACTACCATGTAGAATATGTCTTTGTTATACACAAAGAAAGGTTAAAATAATTTTAAAAATTTCTATAAAGAGGAAAATAGATTGTTTTGAAAGTTAATGGGAGAGGCAGCTGTAATTGCTCAGAAATGCTTAACTATACAATATGAAACACATGCCATAGTGTCCAGTTGAGTCTCTAGGGAGATACATGTTCACAGAACTGAGACAGAGAGGATGCTGTTTCTGACCTGCAATTTATTTAAAAGAAAAGAGGAAGAAGAAGAAGAAATCCTGGCCCCTTCAATGAGAGAATGAAGCAGGCAGGAAATCTCAAGATAGTAACTACTGTCATATGTGATTGTGGTTGCCATGGTAAATACTTTT